AAAAGGTTAACACCTAGAGAGGATCCTCACCATGGTTGCTCCACCAAACTTCGAGGAAGGACAATCAATCTACAAGCCCCCGAGATTCAACGGCCAATACTATGGCTGGTGGAAAACTCGAATATATGACTTTATAATGGCAGAGGACTCTGAGTTATGGGATGTTATTTATGATGGTCCATACGTCCCAACAAAGAAGGTAGGAGAACCTACTGTAATGGTACCAAAAACCAGAAAAGAGTACAATGATGCTGTCAGGAAAGCTGTAGAAAAGAACTTTCGCGCCAAATTTTTTTTGGTGTGTGGCATAGGACCTGATGAATATAATAGGATCTCAGCCTGTCAATCCTCCAAGGAGATATGGGACGCTCTACAAACGGCACATGAGGGAACCACTCAAGTAAAGCAGTCCAAGATCGACATGCTCACCATTGAGTATGAGCTTTTAAAATGGAGAAATCATTCAGAGGAACAAGCTCGTGAGGAAAGTTCTTAGCGTTTTACCCAGCTCCTGGGAGAGTAAGGTGAACGCTATTACTGAAGCCAAGGATCTGCAAACACTGACTATGGACGAGCTGGTTGAAAATCTGAAGACCTATGAGATGAAGAGAAAGAAGGACAGTGAAAGAAGAGAACCAAATAAGGAGAAGAGCCCGGTACTCAAAGATGAAAACAATGATTCGAGTGAGGAGGATAGCGATATGACATACCTTACCAGAAGGTTTCAGAAAATGGTTCGAAGGAATGGAGGTATACCAAAGAGAGGTAGTTCCAGCAAACCAAAGAATTATGACCTCTATCATAAGTGTGGAAAGCTAGGGCATTTCATCAAGGACTGCCCTCTTCTGAAGCAAGAACATTTCAAGCACAACTCTAATAAAGCAGCCAAGAGGAACCCGGTTCCTGACAAACGCTTCTAAAGAAAAAACACAGCTGACAATGTTGTGAAGCAAGCTCTTGCAACATGGGGAGACTCCTCCAGTGAGTCTGAAGAAGAAAATGATACAGGTGATAGCTTCATGTTGGCAGTTGAAAGTGAAGCAAATGAATATGATTCAATATTCGCCTTGATGGCTCAGTCAGACGATGATGAAGACGATGACGATGATGAGGTAAGTTTTAGGGATGTTCAGAGAAATCTAAAATCCTCTTCTCCTAAAAAACTCATGTCATTCGCTAATGTATTGATTGATACATATCATAGTCTGGTGAGTGATAAGGATGCCTTAACCATAGAGTTAGGAGATGCTGAGCAGACTGGAGATGACTTGGTTATTTGTGTAGTTGACCTGAAGGAAACCATAGAAAATATGAAAAATGAAAATGAGGTTCTAACAAAAAAAAAATTGCTAGTGTAGAACATGAAATAGATGATTTGATGGTAGTTGTAGTTGACTTGAAAGAAACTATTGAGAACATTAGTAAAGAAAATAATGCCTGAGTGGAGAAAGTTTCTATCACTGAGCAAGAAAGAGATGATCTCTTAGTGGTGATTGCAGACCTAGAGGAAACAATTGAGGAACTTAAAGCATACTCTAGGCCTGAAAATTCTGAAAATGGAAAGGAAATTGCTAGTGAGGCACATATTAAACTTGAAAATGAGCTGAATATTATGAAAACTAGTTTATGTGCTGAGCTTGAGAAAAATAGATAGCTTCAAGCAGAATTGGAAAAAGTAAAAAATAATCTTGAGAAGTCTCTTAAGTGAACCTAGTCCTCAGATGCTATTACTGCCATGCATTTTAACAATGGTGGAAACATGCATGGAATAGGGTTCCAAAGGGAGAAAGTTCCCTATAACCCTCATATCAAGTACGTCACTATACATGATAACTGGCTTTGTACCCATTGTGGGAACAATGGGCATTTCAAGGAAAATTGCCAAGCCAGAGTCCAGTCTGTTCAAAAAAAATAAAGTTTTTTGCTGAAAAAGTAACTACTGGAAGAGGACCAGGTGCCACTCACAAAAAATGCATGTTGCCTGCATGGACTAGAAGAGCTCTCATTCATCCCTTTTCTCATTCCAAGGGACCCAAACTTGTTTAGGTTCCTAAATCTAACCCTTGAATTTCATGTGCAGGGAACAATGGGAGGAAGCAGTCAACAATGGATCATGGACAGTGGATGCTCTAAGCACATGACTGGGAATACCATGGACGTCCTTTCACTGAAAGCCTTGCAATGAGGGAATGTATTCCTTGGAAATGGGAAAAAGGGGTACATTCTTGGTGTTGGAAAAATTGGAAAGTCTCTCTCACACTCAATCAAGAACGTGTATTATGTCAATGGTCTGAAGTACAGTCTCTTGAGTGTTTCTCAAATTTGTGATAAGGGAAACAAAGTCGAGTTTTTGTCAAAGATATGCACAGTTACTAATCTGGTAACTAGTGAAGTGGTACTTGTGGCCAAAAGATACAAGAACATCTACGTTGCTGATTTCGAGTCCCTACAAAGTGGTGACATGAGCTTCCTGAAAGCTGTTGATGATGATGCCGAGATGTGGCACAGAAGGCTGGGACATGCAAACTTCTCTCTTCTGAACAAGCTGATACAGAAGGACCTGGTTCGTGGCTTTCCAAATTCAAAGTTCAAAGAGCACAAAGTATGTGATGCCTGTGCTAGAGGGAAACTTGTGAAATCTTCATTCAAGCCAAAGAAGGATGTTAGCACATCAAATTCACTTGGATTACTTCATATGGATCTATGTGGACCTATGAGAGTGCCAAGCATGGGTGGAAAAAGATACATTTTTGTGATAGTGGATGACTACTCAAGATTCACTTGGACGTTGTTTCTCAGAACAAAGGATGAGACCTTCGAAGTATTTGTAGCCTTTGTGAAGAAAATTCAAGTGAAAATGGAATCAAAAGTGTCTTGCATCAGATCCGATCATGGAACAGAATTTGACAATGCCAAGTTTGATGAATTATGTAGTGAAAATGGCATCACCCACAACTTTTCAGCTCCAAGAACTCCACAACAAAATGGAGTTGTAGAAAGGAAAAACATAACCCTTGAAGATATGGCCAGAACAATGCTTATTGACAATGGGATAGCCAAAAACTTCTAGGCAGAAGCCATAAATATTGCCTGCTACTTGGTGAACAGGTGCATGATCAAATCCTTCTTGAATAAAACTCCCTATGAGCTGCTAAATGGAAGGAAGCCCAAGCTGACTCACTTAAGAGCGTTCGGGTGCAAGTGCTATGTTCTCAATCATGGAAAGGATCAGCTTGGAAAATTTGATGCCAAAAGCGATGAAGGAATTTTTATGGGGTATTCTTCTCAAAGCAAAGCTTACAAAGTTTACAATAAAAGGACTCAGTGTGTGGAAGAAAGTGTTCATGTAATCTTTAATGAATCCCCTTCATCTGGTGAGAAGAGCAATAAGGATGATCGAGACAGTGAGCCACTGCTGGTTCCAGGAGAAATCATTGATATGGCAAATGGAAATGCAGATATGATGAGTCAAGCGAAGGAGACAAATGAAGGCAATGCAACCTCCTCCACTCCAACTCAAGAGGAACCAGGTACACAAATCACAACCACTAAAGATGAAGAAAGAGTGGTTGATGCAGTTCAAAGTACTCCACAGGTAGCAGAAAGAAGAATGCAAGGGAACCAGTTAAGATTACCTAGTTCCTCCACTAATGATATTCAAGTGCCAAACTGGAAACACAAAAGTTCTCACCCTTTCGATAATATAATCACCCCCTTGATTCTGGAGTTTAAACTATATCAAAAGCAAGAAATTCACTTGCCTTCTTAGCCTTCCTCTCCCAAATAGAACCCAAAAATATTAATGAAGCCTTGAAAGGTGCAGATTGGATCACATCTATGCAAGAAGAGCTGCATCAATTTCAAAGAAGAGCTGCATCAATTTCAATTTCAACGGACTCAAACTAATGTGTGTTGTATGACTTCAGACAGAAAAGAATCAACTTAGGGACTTGATTCCTTTGAATTTCCCTGAAAACAGTACGAAGTCAACTCTATAGTTGAAAAGTGACTGCCTGCATTGTACATGCTACAGTGCAGAAACAGTGCAATAACCACTTCCCATTGGGAAGAGCTTTTTACCAACCAAGTGTTTACATCATCCAAATGATGTCATCCAAAGGATATTAACAAGAAACATTACAACAAAACATCACTTGAACACTTGTAAAATAACTTAAGCACTCAAGATCTGATAATCAAGCATTGAAGTCACAAGTGCATCAAGAACAAAGTACAACACTACTACAGACTAGTTCCTACAACAAGTCTTTTGTATGTCCTTAGTTGAGTTGTATCTTTGCATTAGTTTTTCACTGTAATTCCTACTTTGCTTATTTAGAAGCTTTAACTAGGAACCTCCAAAAACCATAAACCCTTAGAGTTTGTGTCGTGACTAGAGTTAGTCATGAGTTGAAGTCTTTGTAATAGGTGTACTGCAAAGTGGCTTGTAATAGGTGTATTACAAGTTAGTAAGGGATTAAGAGTTTAATTCCTAGGTTGCAATAAGTTGTAATCTAAAGATTGCTCAAGTAGTGAAGTTGAAATCCTACAAGTATAAGTCGTGATTTTTTATCCCCTTGAGCAGAAATTTTTCCACGTAAAATCTCCTGTGTTATTTACTTACTGGTTCATTAGCTATTTATGTGGGAACTGGTATAAGACCAGGTCTCTATATAGTTTGGTGGACTCATACATTTTATCATAACGAATATAGATGGTATTTTTGTAAACAACTAACCTTTTTAAAAAACATGCAATGCATTTTGATTTTTAATACACCACACAAAATAATGAATAATAAATAATCTTTACATTATTAATACACCTTAATCCGGGATATTCTCGGTACGCCCCCAAACGACCCCTAAGGAGCATTCACCTTGTATAAAACACATTGGTCGAAATTTTCTGGAAGTCACGTGCCTATTTATTGTTTCTCCCAATTACCTCACAAATCAGAATACACACTGTATTTTACAGGTCTCTATTCTCCATAAAGCCCTACTCGTTTTCCCCAAATTTCAAAACACGCCTATTAATCCTACACCGTCGGATCATACACCGTTCTCCTCATCACTGCCGTCCGATCACTCACACGTGCCGCAAACAACCTCTTTACCTCTTCCCTCTCCTAAAACATAAGACGTAAAACTCAAAACTTCTCCAGCTCCCATATCAAAGCTAGGGTTCTATTCGGCCGTCAAATTTCACAGCGGCAGGTTCAATTTCGTCTTCACATTCGTAGAATTTTATAATAGTTCTCAAAAAGTTGCTTCTGTTTTGCAATTTCTGTGTATATGTATATGTGAAATTTGTAATTTTTGTTGATGAATTTTGATTTGGTTGTACAGTGGAGAAAAAAGTATGGAGAAAGAGCTAATTGAGCTGTTCGAGACGGTAAAACGAGCCGCCGATGCAGCTTCTGTAGACGGCGGTGCAGATTCGTCGCCGGAGGAGAGTAGGTGCATTGACGTCTTGAAGCAGCTTAAGAAGTTCCCTGTCAATTATCAAGTCCTCGTATCTACACAGGTAACAATACATTTTTTTCTTTGCGTTTTTAATTTTAAGTTTTTAATTTATTTAGAAGGTAATTTCAATATGTGTGCTTGATTTTGGATAAACAAGCTTCTGCTTGTCGTGTACATTCAACTTTTCTTGATTGAAAAAGGCTTATGTTGCAAAATTTCAAACCATTGAAATTTCTTTGAAGTGATTTGAAAGAAAAAAAGTTGAATTGATAAATATGTCACACACCTAGTGGTCAATGAAGTTGAAATAGCACACGGGAGATTGCGTTTTTAATTTTAACTTTTTAATAGGTAATTTTCAATATGCGTGCGTGATTTTGGGTACACAAGGTTCTGCTTGTCGTATACATTTAACTGTTCTTGATTGAAAAAGCTTGCAGTAGCAAAGTTTCAAACTTTGAAAAAAATTGAAGTGATTTGAATTTTTTTTTGAAGTGATAATACATATGCAATATGTCACACACTTGGTGGTCAATAAAGTTGGAACAGTCCACAGTAGATTAGTGTTCAAATCCTAGCGGAGGCAAAAAAACTAGTTTCTTCCTATTTTTCTAAGTCTTTGGACAGAGTTATCTACACATCTGGAGTTAGCAGAAATGGCTGGATTAGTTAAGGTGTGTGCAAGTTGGCAGGTTACCATTGTTATTTCTTTTCCTAAAAAAGCAAGATGTCTCCAATTTTGATGTTTGACATCCGGAAATGGCCTCTCTACCTTTTGAAGGTAGGGGTCTGCATATACACTACCCTCCTCAGACCACACTTGTGGGAATACACTGGGTTTTTTGTTGTTGTTGTTGAGGGGGGTTGTTTGGTTTGAAAAATTGCTACTTTCTGAAAGAAGTTAAAATTTCTTCCCCAAAGTAAAATAAATATTCAAAAAACTTCGCAAACAAACAAATTTGAAACACTGAAAGTAAAATTTGCAAACTTTTTACAAACAATTTTCCAGCAAAGCACCATATAATTAAAATAGAGCAGAATAAATCTGATAGAGATAATCCCCTCAGTAATAACCCATATAGGGAGAGAGAAGTCTTATTCGGAAATGTTACAAAGACCAGGTCTTTGGAATCTGTTGTAGATTAATTCCTTCGCTTTTCTGCATGAGTTTCCAAATTTGTGTCTCCTTTTCTCTGTTTCCTCTGGTTTTTGTTTGGCAAGGGAGAAAGGGGGTTGGTGTTGGGGTGGGGTCGATTGGGATAAATCTTTAATGTCAGAACACTGAATCATGCTCGTCCACCTAAAGTGGTTCTGTTCGTTGGAAGGGTTTCTGAACATCTGCCGATAAATATTGCACGATGGTTGCACAATTGCTACGTTTTCTATGCTATGCTTAGTGTTTACTATGACAGCCTATCACTTGATGCTAGTGAGAAGCCGATGATCCCTTTCCTGTATTTGACATAAGGAAATATGTTTCAGGTGGGTAAACGTCTTCGACAATTGACAAAACATCCGAGGGAGAAGATCCAGGCTTTGGCATCTGATGTGGTTCAGAACTGGAAGAATATAATCGTAAGAGAAACTTTGAAAAATAAGAACAGCAATGGAGTAAATGGGGAATCTGTAAAAGATGAATGTCCCGGTGCTACTGCTAATGAAGCCACTAAATCTCAGATAGCCAATTTGGTGAAGGTTGAAAAAGTGTCAAAGGTTGATAATGTAAAAGTTGAGAGGATGACCTCAAAATCTGATAAAGCAGTGAAGTCAGAAAGTTCGTTTACAGTTAATGTTGTGAAGACTGAAAAGAGTACTGCTTCTGATAGTGTAAAAGTTGAGAAGATATCAAAAGATGGGAAATTGAGCTCTAATGTGGCAAGTGTTGCTCCGCCAAAGTTGGGCGCTCTAATTTATTGCAAGGACTCTGTGAGGGACAAAGTTCGGGAACTCCTTGCAGAGGCTTTGTGCAAAGTCTCAGGCGAAGTAGATGACGATTTGAGGGTTGAGGTAAATGCATGTGATCCGAATAGAGTTGCAGTTCAAGTGGAGACTGCAATGTTTGAGAAGTGGGGTAGATCTAATGGTGCCCAGAAGTTCAAGTATAGGTCTATAATGTTCAATATCAAGGATCCAAACAATCCAGATTTCCGGAGAAAAGTCCTTATAGGACAGATTCCTCCTCGTAGTATTACTGAACTGACGCCAGAAGAAATGGCAAGCAAAGAAAGGCAAAAGCAGAATGAGAAAATTAAAGAGAAAGCGTTATTCAATAGTGAACGTGGACTTCCTGCACAAGCTAGTACTGATAAGTTCAAGTGTGGTAGGTGTAGAAAGAATCAGTGCACCTACTATCAGATGCAAACTCGGAGTGCGGATGAACCTATGACCACATATGTTACATGTGTGAACTGCCAAAATCGCTGGAAGTTCTGTTAAATTTGAGCCAGTATCCATTTATCCCTTAATGGCATCACATAGTAAGCTTAGCGCCTTGTCTTAACCTTGATGTAGTTCCTAGTTCATTTTTTCATTTTCTCCTTAGAGGCAATCTCATTATGCCCGCATATGATCGCTGAGGTAGTTTATTGTGCGAGATGTTATGACATTGTATTTTTTTCTCATTTCTAGGCTAAAAAATTACTCTACAGAAAATGCAGCTGTATTGGAAAGAAATAATATAAATAGAAGATGCATTTGTGAGTCAGTTGAATTTCCTGCAAAGTTATTCCAAGTTCATCCAGATTCTTTTGCACCAGTAGGAAAATATTTCACATTCAGACACTTTCCCGGTGAGTCTGCTGGATTTGTAGAGAATGCTCTGTTAGGTATATTGTTGGATTCTCACTCCTAACTTTTTCCTCTTTTACCATTTTGCTCGACAGCCATTAAATCATCTAACTCAATCAATATCAACAAGATGCGTTTATTCACCCTGTCTTCCATGTGGGGTATCTAAAGACATACCATCCCTTTTTTTTATACCGTAGTGCCCCATACCCTTCTTCAAATCAGAGAAAGGCGGGGGAGACTACTCTCGTGCTCCTTCCATCCGCGAAGCTGAGGCGGGAGAAAAAGCGTAATCCCCGGTGTCATAGGTGGATCCGGTTGATTAAGTCGTTGTGTTTGTCGATACCACATGCTTGGAGTGCGGGGAAGGGCTCACCTGTTGATTGTTTCGTTGCATGCTTTCTGATAGTGTCAATTGCAGTAAACAACAGTTCTCTAATCTCTTTTGGTGTTGCAGTTCGTGAACTGTGTAATGTACATCAGCTTTTGAAAAGCTGTCTGGGTCATCAAGTTGCATATGGCTCAAATCAATGCATTAGTCAGTAATTGAGGAGATTGCATGTTTGTGGTTGCGGTTAATGAAGGAGGAGGAGGAAGGTAGATGGGGATAATTTAGGGGTTGGGGAGGGATCAGGGATGGAGTAAATGTTAAGAGAGAAGGAAGACTGTCTATCTTTTTCTGTTTATCGACTTTTGAACTGGTGCTACAGAGTACATAAGCAGATTTTATCTTTTCAGGTAATAAATGGAAACTGCACATTAGAAACTCTTGAGCTCCTTCAACATAGTTAAAAGTAAAGATGATTCTTTCTACAAAGACTTTAGGCTTTTTTGTTTATTAAGATAATAAGAAGATAAAGAAAAACAATAGGAAGAAAAACCAAAATAAATTAAATCAGATAAATACTAGGCTTCTTATCAACATGATTAGTTTAGCCATTTCTGATAAGAGAAGGAGAAGGAATTAAGGGAGCTAGATCAAGGAACTAAAGTAACGTTCCTAATGGATGCAAAACGAGGTATGCTCTTATTTTCTTCACATCTCTAGTTTTAATCTATTATTCCTATTTACATATTTAAGATTGTGATGATCAGTCGCGATCCTAGAAAATTCAATAAGGTTGTTTAAATTTTCGGCGAAGGGTGTTCAATACTTCAATTGACTACCCTTGGCCACACATAGCTTTGCACTTGGTGATGGTGTAAGTGAATTCTCTATCTTGAAACTTGTACCCTAGTTTTACATTTTTTCTACGTTAAGACATTAATTTATCACGGTTAAAAAAGTTTAATTCTCCGATGAAGCTCCTCTCACACATTTTGCACTGTTCCATGCATTTTTTTTTTGCCTATATGTTACGTAATATTTGGAAATATTATCTCTACACCTTAGGGCAGAGATAAGGTCTGCATACATACAACCCCGCCCGCCGACCCCCACTTTCGGGACTCTACAGAATTTGTTGTTGTTGTTGCTTATTTGTTAATATTGCTACTACCTTTTTTATTTCCTTTTTTCTCTTTTTAAACGTAACGGTAGGTAAATAGATCCATGCTTATGTTGTGTTTTCTTGTCATAGATCCATGGTCGGCACTTTTGTCGAACAGAGCAAATCATTATTCAAGATGATTAATTGGCGTTCATTACCAAATTCTTTCTTACCAAAAGTCAGACTTGAGGACATTATAGATGGTAGAGACTGCAATGGGGTGTCAAAATCTTTTGTTTTAATGGTTGAACCAGATGACACAATAGCTGCAGTTAAAGCGTACATTCAAGAGGAACATGGGATTCCTCTTAAGAAACAGCAACTCTTGAATGAGGAATGTGGAGTTCTGAAAGATGCTGAGACTCTTTCTTTCTGTGGGGTTATTAGGAAAGGTTCTACTTTAATCCTTTGATATGCACATCTTACTCAAATCACACTGAGAACACTTACTGGACGTCGTATCAAGGTAATGGTGGATCCTTATGACACCATTGCAGATGTTAAGGCTGCTAACCAAGAAAATGAGGGTATTCGATCTCGTAAACAGAGGTTAATCCACTGTGGTTGACGATTGCCCGATGATGAGACTCTTGTCAACCTCAAAATTCAGTTTGACTGTGTTCTGAATCTTATTATAGTCAGACATTTCTATAACATCATTCCTATATAACAGTCATTCACTATAAAAAGTAATCTCTTTCCCGGAATTAACTTTTATGTTATATTATAATATTTGTCCTCTATAACAACACTTTATTATAGTAGCCAAAAAATATTAGAACAAACGAGACTATTATAGAGAGGTACCAACATTTACGGGTAGCTGTATCGAGTTAATTATGGTGGATCCTAATGACACTTCGCCGATGTTAAGTCGCTATGCAAGAGGAGGGTATTTGATTTCATAAACGAAAGGTTATTATAGTGAGGACAAGAATTGCTGGATGATGAGACTCTCGTCAACCTCAAAATTCAGTTCGACAGTGTACTGTGTCTTGATGTCGCCACTTACTTGATCACTAGAGGTTGGTAAGTTAGGACTTATTTGGGACATTTATGTAAGATTCCCAATACATTACTTTTTAGTAGCAGTTGTTTCATTATGTATTTCCTTTAATGGTTCAACATTTCTAGCAAGATGTGTCAGTTTGTTTTAATCTGTCTATTCTCCATGTGGTCAGATCTGCTATATTAATTAAGTACAATAAATTTCATATTATCTAAGGATCCGGCCTCTAGATACTCACCCGTATCGAACACTTGCACCCGAGTCCGAGCAACTTAGCTTATTCCCACTCCAAAATCAGGTCTTGCACTTTGTGCTGCTGTTGCTAAAGATTGCGGTTGTGGAGCAAAGCCAAGCTTCTTTGATCCACATCCACAAGCTTAATCCCTCGTTATCACCTGGTAAACCAAATCTCATTAGCGCAAAAACCCTTTATTCACGGGTACACCACTATGATGTTTTGGTTCAACATGACCCAATTCCATCCAAGTTATGTTATTATCCAAGTTATATTATTTTCTTGGAAGGATTAACAATGACTTCAAAAAATAATCAATTGAAAAGCAGAATACTCCAATTTATGACAATTCTTATGTATAAGTTTGCCGAGATGCATACCTGTGCCTGCGTATGAACTGGGTTCTACACTTTATTCCATAATTCTGATCGAGAGAACAATAAATCCCCGAGGTTTGCTCGAGTTCTTTTTCCACAATTGAAAGATCTCCACTACTTCAAAACCTCAGAATTCTTAAGTACTTGTCCAAAAACTCTTTCAAAATCACAGTTGCGGTCCTCAGGAGCTTCTCTCTGAGAAAAAACGGGCTATATACTGTGAAGATCGATAAATCTTGGAGATCTGATTAAGTATCAACAAGCATTTAGAACTTGGTTTTTCCAAAGCTTTCCTCTATGTTGATTCAAAATGTCGAGAGAATTCGCGCCTGCTCAAAGGTTCTTTCCTTAGTGAAAGTGATGATGGGAAAAAATGCAGCTGTGCTGCATCATTGCAAGCTTATCTTAGTTTTATGCTAAATTACTTTAAATTATTTTCAATTTAAGACTAATCCTCGTCAATTTTTCCCTATATTAAGGCTCAAATTTCCATCTCACCTAGATGGGAATGAGAAAAGCAGTCAAAGACTTGCAATATAACAGCGACAAAAGAATGATTTCAGGGTCCACAAAGAAGTGTATTATCTATTCAGTAAAAGCCTGTACTGCAATTACACATCATAGTCCATAGTCCACCTAAGAATAGAGATTTACTGTACAACATGTATTACACCAATCTGAAAATTACCAGATCTAAAATGATTCATCCCTATAAAATAAGTAGTAAGCATCACCTTTCAGCTTTAGTTTTTCCACTTTTCTTCTGTCCAAAACTGACTTGGCACTCTGGGGTTGGGCAAGACAATCTTCACAAATTTGGCTAGTGAAGTAATAAATTACTAACAATACACAGGAAGAGGGAGGGCAAGGACGTTGTTCAAATGAAACTTACTGATATACAACGTGACAATGACAATTGCAATTGTAGTCTGCCGGAAGTTACATGAAGATATTTCAACTCCATTGATCATTACTTGATCATAAAATTAGAGATCACGTTTTAAGGTTCCCTCTTAGTGAAGGAACTAGTAATAGCTTTTTACCTGCATATTTTACCATCTCACCTTCCGAGTCAGCAGAAGCAGACCTAGTATACATCATTGTAGTGGAGGCCAGTATATCATCTCCAAATCCACATGCTGTAAAAAATGGCCTGGGGAAATATATGACCAAAAATTACAAGTGTAGAGGTTTCTCTTTCAAAGTAACAGCAGAGAAGAATTTCTTGACTATACATGAACATACAGGATAATTTATCAAATGAAAAGGTCCAATATGGACAAAGATGAAAAACAATTAAGAATTTTAATCAATTCACTTCCCAACAAAAACTATGCCTCAATCCCAAAAAAGTTGGGATCGGCTATGCGAATCCTACTGACCATGTCAATCCATTTAAACTCGTATCAGTCCATACTACACTATAAAATTAAACAAAAGAATACTAGAAGTTCTCCATATTTTCTATTAGCATACAAATCTCTGAGAAAAATGAAAGACTCCCCGAAAACATAGGACCTAAATTAAACATACATGACTAAAACTAAATCCAAACTTTTCTTTTTCTTTTTTCTGAAAACTCAACCCAACAAATCAATTCACTTCCCAACTGCAATTAAATTTTAGCTTAAAGGTTCAACATCTATTTCACAATGATATCCGCATTGTATGCCAGAATTGCTAGCTTCCATATACATGCAACAATGAACATAAAGCATACCAAAAAATATGGTACCTACACAAATATCTCTTATTCCACCGTAGAGGTCGCTTGGATGAGTCAAAGGCAAAGCCTTTTATGTCAGCATAATAAATTTTAAGGAAAGAAACAAACAAAAACTGCCAAATATTTTGTTGCCTGAAAAGTAATGAACTCACTTCTCTTGATCAGAGCAGAGGGCTGCTATGTCATAAATGTCTCGGTTCGCAAGAATCCTGCAAGCAAATTGAGCTCCATGAACATCAATTAAAAGGGTAAATATAGAACTTATGCAAGCAATATATATCTACAAAGACTAGCTCATGGATAGCCAAAATGATACAATAAGATTCAATTATTGCAGCCTAGGAGGAAGAAGGAAAGAGAGTCGTCCTTATTTGGTTAGAGCGTGTAAGAGAGGGTTAACGTTCCAATATGAAACATCCTATACATGAAAGTGGAAGCAGCATATGTGAAGACATGCGTGTATGTGCACCCACTACTTATAGGTTGTATCAGCCTCCTATATGTGCCAATCAGAATATAAAGGAAAAAACACAAAATGGTAACCTTATCATCCTTTGAACTATCTTCCTGCCAATGCCTCTTCTTCGTAGTGAAGGGATGACCTGCAAATCACTGAAGCAGAATCACATGAATACCCCATGGATTATAAATACTCTGTGGCATTGGATTGTATATACAGGGAAAAAAAAGAAGAAGTCAAAGCTAAACTTTGGTTAGATAAACTTCTACATGAAAAAGATCTCATTTTTTTTTCTCTAAAGGATAGCGTTTTAATTGTAACTCTTTTTTTTCTGAACCTTGATACATTCTCTAAATACCCTTCAAACGGGGAGCCGCAGCTCTCTAGTAAAATTTGCCCCAATAGTTGTCATGGCAGTAGATTGCTTACATGTGTCCTTGAGAATTTTAAAGGTTGAAATTTTGTTTTGGTTTATCTCTATTATGGTTAAATCTATATTAATGGTAAGGCAGGAAAAAAGGGTAAAATCTGGTGGAAGCATGACATACATGTGAGATGCAACCCGCCTTTTGCCTTCGTTTTGATTATATCTCCTCTCCAAAAGACACCATTAGTTACACTCTTCCCAGAAAGAAGAAACCTAGTAAAACAAAAAGTCTACCATTGACTGTTGAAGGATTGTCTTCATTGTTTACTTTGATACAAATTTATCAATTTTTTAATTGAATTAAATATGGGTATTGTTTAATGCCTTTAGAAAATACATTGAAATCTATTGATTTGTTTCTTTTTTAGAAAAAACTTCTAATCACTGGGTGAATATTATTTAGTAAATTTCATGTCTTGATTTTGGTTCTACTGTTCAATGTGTATCTTTTTTATATGTCTATATGAGTTAAATATGTTAGTACTACAAGGTACAAAGCATTAATCCGTTTTTTCGTTTTCTCGGTTTAACTGATAACTTTGAGAAAACCATGGATGATACTACATCCGAAGAAGTTCTATAAAATAAGTCTCAAGAGTATATGATCTCGTGTCTAAACTTGGCCTTGAATTTGACAGTGATTAGAATGTAATTGACTTTTATAACGAATATGCTAGAAGGATTGGTTTTAGTACTCATAAAGAGTACGTGAACACAAATAAGAAATTATGTTATGTGAAGCCAATAAAGATAATATGTTCCATAGGAGGTTTTTGTGGAGATGATAAACGAAAAATCAAGTTAAGAATCCACGAAAAGAAGCTAGAATTGAATGTCAAGCTTTCAATGTTGTTACACGTCGACCGTTCGAAAAGTATCGTATTACTAAGGTTGAGGTAGAACATAATCATCTTCTTGTTCTTCCATCAATGGTTCACATGTTACCATCTCATTGAAGGATAAATGAAGTACCAGCTCATGAATTTGATTTTGGCAGAAGATACATGATTATTGTCTAAAGCTACATTTGATTTTACGAGTTTTCAAGCGGTGATCGAGAAAATTTAGGTTATACCAAGTAAAATCAGAAGAATTATCTTGGAACCAAACGACACAAAGCTAGGAAATAAGGAGCGACAAGTAATATGTTGTCTCATAGGTAAGCATATTACCCGTTTCTCCCTATTTCATTACTTCTCTTCGTTTGATTTGAGGATAATCCTTCTAATCGCTTACTATAACCCAAATTTACTCGACCACTTGTTTGAAGACTCACCAAATCTAAAGTAGCATTAAACAAATCCAATATGTTTTGCCAAATCAATTCATAAGCTTGTATTTTATTTATACTTCTATAAAGTAGCAATATGTGAACCAATAAAAGTGGAACAAGAGGATGATTATGTCCAATATCAACTTTAGTATTATGATATTTTTCGAACAGTTGATACAGAATAACAATGTGAGTTTGACATCAAATTCTAGTTTCTTTCATGGATTTTTAACTTCTCCTCTTATCATTTTCACCAAAACCATCTTTGAAACACGTAATCTTTTTTTATGCCAGGTAACCTAATTTCTTATTCATGTTCACGAATATTTCGTGAGTACTAAATCCAACTCTTCTTACATACTCGATATAAAAGTTAATTGCATCATCATCACTATCAAATTCAAGTCCACGTTTAAGCTCAAGATCAATATACCCTTAAGACTTATTTTATAGAACTTATTCTACTGCAATATCAGCTATGTTTTTCTCAAAGTTATTTATTAAACTTCAAAAGAACAAAAAGCATATTAACACTTTCTACTTTATAGTACAAAAATGATAACCAATAAACATATATCGAGATACATACTGAACAACAAAACCAAACTCGAAAACAATAAATAATTACTTGCTAAATAAACTACTATATTCACCCAACTATTAAATATAAAAAATGACAAATTAACATATTGAATATGTTGTCTAAAGACATAAACAATAATCAGGTTTAATCCAAATAAACAATTGTTAAAAATTAAAATAAAAAGAAGAACACAAACCTTTTAACATTCAATGGTAGACTGTTTGTTATTGTAGGATTTTTGCTTCCCTAGAAGAGGATAAATAATGATAGATTTTGGGAAGGAGATGTGTTCAAGTGAAAGGTAAAAAGGCTAGTTGCATTCTACACTTATGTCACTCCTCACTCCTGATAGATTTTACCTTTTTTTCTTTCTCGAGCCTTGCCATTAATAGAAATTTAATCATAATAGAGAATAAACCAAAATAAATCCCAGCCTTTCAAATTACAAGATGCATATCAACAAATTTAAATGGAAATGCACCTCAATCCCAAACTAATTAAGATACACCTATTCTAATTCCATCTAATTACTGCAACCCTCCTCCTTTTACCCGGGCAGATTTTGTTTTCAGTACTAGATAAACGTTGCTTACTTAAACATGCATATTCCAGATAAAGATCTTCTTTTTATTAAATTGCAAGCAAAATATTCAACCAATTCACAAAAAATAAAAAAACACAATTGCATATCAGCTATTAATCTGACCATAACATCATAGATAGCAGCTGTCAATCCAGAATCAGAAACAGCACGTCCAAAACCAACCAATTCTCCATTACCCGGCGTCACAGGCACCACTTTTCCAATCCAATCTCCACCAATACCCGTTAAACTCGGAGCCAATTCGGGTACCAAACCGGGGACAAAGTCGGGTCGGGTAAATACTGAAACGACGACGTAACTATGACGTAACGCTTTTTGAAGCTTGTTCAGATCCACCGGCTCAACTCTACCTTCTGAGTTCAGTTTTGGAAAACGGTGACACGAATGGTTGCATAAGGAATAGAGGTTTTTAAGGTGATTCGGGATTACGTCGTTAGGGTTTGTGGAAATGAATAGTGGCGGCGGCGTTGGTTTGCTTTGGGAGACTGTTTTTTGAGAGATGCTGCGGAATTTGGAGGGAAGATAACCGCCGTGTACGGCGGCTGCAACTGCCATGTTTAGGATATTTTTTATTTTTAAAAAAAAAACTCTTTCGCCTTTTTATTTTATCTATTTTGGGTTTTTGGATAAATTCGTTTACCTCCCATGAAATTTCGGTAACTATACTTTTCTCCCCTGTAGTTTCCAACATTGTCCATTCTATGTAGGGAATAACATGGCAATTAAAATGTTACATTGTAGATCAAAGTGTTACGAGTTTGAATTATTATGTGTCTTAACCATCTATATTTGTATGTAGATTGTAAGCAACATCCACTTTCAACCAAGAGGTTGTGAGTTCGAGTCACCCCAAGAGCAAGGTGGGGAGTTCTTGGAGGGAAGGATGCCGAGGGTCTATTGGAAACAGCCTCCCTACCTCATGGTAAGGGTAAGGTCTGCATACACACTACCCTCCCCAGACCCCACTAGTAAAATTATACTGGGTTATTATTATTATTATTATTATTATTATTATTATTATTATTATTATTATTATTATTATTATTATTATTATTATTATTATTATATATAATTGTGGGAATGAGAACGTTGATGTGGCATGTCTCAAATGCTAGGAATTAGATTTATCTTTTTCCTTTTTTTTTTGAGGTTTTCTCCTATTTTAATCGGGGGCGGACCCACGTGGAGAGGTGAGGGGTCACTGGCACCCTATATATTACTGTATATATGTCGAAAACCCCTATAATAATTTAATTGTGCTCCCAAAACAACAAAATGCCCCTTGGTTGCTTCTACCCATTCTCTCACTCCAGACCCAGGATCGAGACCCAACACTAGCATTACTTCACCATTTTTTTCTTTTTTCCTTTTTTAATTGAATGACAGTTTAGTACTCCATATTTAGTAATCAACTTGATTTATTTATTTTTTAATTCAAACATCAGTTTAGTATTAGTACATATAAGTCACTTAGTTTAATTATTTTCTTTTAAAATCTCTTCATCTAAGCTCCAAAACTCAACTTCTCTTCACGATTAGTTCTTTGTATCTTCTACACAAAATACTCAAAAATTCTATTGGAGATACATCTTTCTAGACTTTGAAAAGTTAATAAAGAGACACAAAAATAATGATTAAAGACAGTAGGAAAGGGGGATAAAATATTTCATTAACTAGTTTCATTAGTCAATAATCTTTATCTCTAACCAATTTTTATTATTATTTCATTTAGGAAAAATAAAGACAACTAAAACCCTTCTCCCTTCAACGATTTAGTACTAGTACATAGAAGTCACTTAGTTTAATTTTTTTCTTTCAAAATCTCTCCATCTAAGCTCCAAAACTCAACTTCTCTTCACAATTAGTTTTTTGTATCTTCTACACAAAATACTCAAAACTCTATTGGAGATACGTCTTTCTAGACTTTGGAAAGTTAATAAAGAGACACAAAAATAATGATTAAAGATAGTAGGGAAAAGGGATAAAATATATCATTAACTAGTTTCATTTGTCAGTAATCTTTATCTTTAATCAATTTTTATTATTATTTTATTTAGAAAAAGTAAAGACAACTAAAACCTTCTCCCTTCAACGTTTACTTTGGCAAAGTAGCAAGTATTCGTTCGCTCTGGGACTTCGATTGAGACTTTTTGGACTGCAGACTTTTATTAGTCATGATTTTAAGTTTTTTTATGTTTTTAAATATTCTTTCGGCCACGAACTCGTAATCACCAAGTGTTCAAAGAGTTGCACGCCAAACTTTATTACAACTTATGTTATTTTCATATTTACGTTAAAGATAATGGTGCCCCGCGACGTTCAAATCATGGGTTCGCCTCTGATTTTAATAGTTAAAAACTCAAAGTCACACCCCTTCATTGAAAATCTTAATTACACTTAACTCTGTACAGTTAAGAAATGAAAAGTCATGCCGTGAAAGGTATAATTAGGAAAGAGAAACGCATGGTTTCAAAATTTTATACCCAAATCTTTTGACTTTTCAACTGCCACATTTAAAGGTAAAATTATCCTTTACTATTTAGCTTCCTCCTACACATGTGAAAGAATGGAATTACGCTGCCAATCTTTTCACCCTCTTATATATTTTCTCTAATTCTCTCCAATATTTTTCTAAAATTGTGAGGCTGCTTTGCTTTTTCACCAAAGGTTTTTGGTTAATTATATTTTGTTTAGTGTAATTGTTAAGTTTCGTAGGTGATGGTTTATTTAGATATTTTTTAGAGTGAATTATGATGCATTTGAGATGATGATCAAAAAATTAATATTGTATACATGTTTGATTTATTAATGTTGAATCTATTTCTTTCATATCTGACTCATGGACATAGTCATTTTTTCTTTCTCGGAAGAGAAATGTTGAGGAAGTGTTCTCTACATCCTTGCATATTTTATAGTGTTGGATATACTGGGAATATGATTGGTTATATGTCAGTTCCATAGTGTAAAAATACTATTTATCTTTTATCTCTATCTTTTAACTATTTTCTTACATTTTTTCATTTCTCTTATTTTAAAAAGTCCACATCCAAAAGCTCACGTCTCTTTATTTAGAGGTTATGGCCTTTAAAAAAATAAAATGTTGAGGAAGAATGTGATAGTTCAACCATAAAAATGTAAGCTTATGCAACGATTGTAATTATTTTTAAAATAATGGTAGTAAGTAAAGTAATTTATCTTTCATTTCATACCTCATCATATACTTTCTGCAAAAGACAATTAAATGTTTGTTAATTACTTTTTGCTTTTGCTTTATTTTGTCTTCTTGCAGATATTATAGCTTATGGATTTGGCTAACAGGTAACTATGCACTGCAATTATTTAGTTTTGATCTTACAATATGTAGTAATATGAAAGTTGATGTATCGACGGTCGTAACCCTTCCTATCATCCCATGATCTTCTTCGTCTTTTCATCACTGTGTATTTTCTCTATCTCTCATTTATGTAAACGTCGTCTAATCTCAAATTGTCATATGACTTTTACAAAGATCAAATCAATTTCAAGATATTCCTTCGTTCTGACTGATTTTTTTGAGAATATGATTTCTATGAAAATTATTAAATGTGTTGGCGCTGAAACATAGGATATGCATGGAAACGGCAAAAGAAATTAACTTGGTGATGCACACTATTTTTCAGTTTTGTATTTTAATGTTACAAATTGTCTAGGTACTTGCTTGCCATGTTTGGGGTATTATTTAGGGCGAGAGTGAACTTTTAACTTTGTTATTGAAAATCTGAGGAAAAAAATTATATTTGTCTTTTACAGTTATACAAGTTGTTTGAGTATATAATTGTTTCTACGTTTCACTTTGTGTTTGAGGTAAATCATTGGTCAATTCGTTTCTTAATATAAACGAATCTCCAACTTTTCATGCAACCAGTACCAAAACACATGTTAAAAGATTTCTTTTTATAAATAGTATTTTTAAAATTAATGTAATATCATAAAATACAAAACTATATCCCATCTATATATAAAACAAAAAGTTGCGTTTAATTTTTATTTACAGTGAAAAGTTTCTTGGTATTTGATAGGGAGGGTTTTACTAAGGCTTATCCAATACAGATCTCAGTTAATTAGATTAGTAAGGTACAATAATAATGTTGCAGTTGCAGAATATACAAAAGATAAGATTGTTTAATGGGTATTATTTCCCTGATAATTCCTTGAATGCTCTTGAGATACAGATATGATATTATTTGATAAAAATATGAGGATATCGATAAAATTATATGTAGTCAATCTTAAAGACCGCGCGAAGCGCAGGCAAATTAATTAGTTACAATTAAGTTTGGCTTTCTGTGTTCAAGTGACGGTGTAAATATGTTTTACTTAACATACTATAATTAATTATTATAAATTTTAGTCGATTACCAGTTATTTTCATGTGTAAAAAGATTATAGGTGAGTCAAAAGAAAAATAGAGAAAGAACGAAGTAAAATATAAGTAGTGAGGAAATGTATTTTTGAAGACTAGTTGAACGTCTCTTGATAATTTATTTTATGTAATCCTTATACCCTTATATCATCATTAGCGGATTCAGAATTTTATGCAAGCGGGTTCAATCTTAGAAGTATATAACTTTAGTAGTAAAATAGTACCTGTCAAATGGGTTCAAAAAAAATATTTATACAAAATTTATGCAACTTTAATCCTAATTTATATATATACACAGTATTATTTTCTGATGAAGCGGGTTCAGTTAAACCCGCTTGCCATCAGGTGCGTCCCCCAATGTATATCATACTGCAATCACACTGAAAAGCATAGCAAATTTGAGAAAATTTAGTTACAGTTTTTTTTGTTCCTCATAATGTTTTGCATACCATTATTTTAAAAAGAAGAAAGATGAAATAAATTATTGGTAAAGGAAAAACTTATATGATAGAAGCTTCATTATTTATAATAGTGTTTACCCGGAAAATCGGATATAGTTAAATTTATAAGTAGTTCTAAGAATATGTGATGTAGCTTGACATAAATCGTACAGAGAAATGTAAATGTGTAGATTCTTGACTATAGAAACGGGAGATAAATTAGTGAGCAAGAAGAGTATGACAAAGCAAAACAAACTCAAGGGTTTTATCTTTCAATAGAAGAAGTAGTCTTTTGTTACAATGTGTGAATGTCCCTTATGCTTACAATAATCCCCCTTTATAGTAGAGGGATCCTACTTTATATATAATAAATTATATAGTGGAGAGCCCATGATGAATTGTTTTTTCCCTAATTCATGACAGGATTTTCTCCCTTAGTGCGGTTGCAACGACCCTGATCTATTAGCTCGATACCGACTCGAACTCGATATTGGATCGAGCCATCGACCTTGACTCGAGCTCGATCCTGACTCGGAGTCTTGATATTCGGGATGGGTGTCGGTCGGTCTGTGCATCTCCGACAACCTTCGCGTTGCCTCGTGGTTCGATTTGGTTATGGGCCCGATAATAATACCGAGCTAATCTTTGATCGATTTTGGAGCTCGAATCATGACACCCTTACTTTGGACCTCGACATGACCTTACGCAGATACCTTTCGATCGAAGTATTATTATCTCGACCAGTCCGTATGACTGAATAATAAGTTTCGACCGTATACAAATAGTGCATACAATAAGTAACCCATATTGATATTGCGATGGAACGGAGTAATGTACATTGGGTAATTACAATAGAATTAGTATTAAGTGTGTTAATTATAATATTAATTCTATGATAATAAAGTTTAGTAGTAAGTCTACACTAAATAATAATAATAATAATATATTATGTATTTTAAATTTGGGAAGAATGAATAACTCAAGAATTTACGAGGATTGAGAATAGATTTAAAATTTACTGGTGTTTACACTAAACGATACTCCTCAATTTACTATAGTTAAGTAATAAATTAAGATTAAAATATTTATTAATTATATTTATCTATATAGAGACGGGTAAATATTTTTAATTTATTATTTAATCGCGATCATGTAATATGATTTAATACAAATACCTCTTGACATAATTTTGTTTTATGTTAATGAGCTTGTTAAACCGTGTAAATATGAGAGGTAATTTTCTACGATAGGGTAGTAGGTGAATGTGAGAAGGGGCAAGAACAGTCCAATATATGAAAACGATAAGGCCGTCCTAGAGTTGAGTTTCCTTAAACCCTTTTACCTTTCACCACTATACTCTGAACGGGTACTCAACCCGCTCAAGTCTGCATATTTTTTCACAGAGTTTATCCAAAGAAAGAAATTTTTCCCCAATTGAATTGGTGAGTTTTCTGTAAAAGCTTCCATTTTTCCCTTCTTTTTTTTCGTATTCTTGTTCTTTTCTCCCCACTTGTGGGTAACTACTGGGTTTGTTGTTGTTGTATTCTTGTTCTTTTTTATTTCGCAGCTGTTTTGCTGAATTACATGTGCACCCAATTAATTGGGTGAGTTTGCTTAAATGGGGTCATGTATTTTCTATAGTATTTGCTTTATTCTTCATCTTCTCGCAGCTTTACTTGTTTTCATGGTTTCCACAAGACCCGAATTTTAGGGTTTATCTAGACACAATTCTTGTTTTTTTTTTTTTGTAATATAAAAAAATATGTTTGACTTGTCCATATAGGTGATACCAACTAATCGAGACTAAGGGGAAAATGTGAGTCTTAGAACCATAATTTGTGGTAATATGCAAATTATTTAGTAGTGGAATGAAATGTGTCCCCAACGAGGAGGTGTGTGTCACGACCCTATTGCTAACCAAGTCGTAACCGGCACTCGGTGCCTTACTTGACCGAGCAAACCATCTTGGCTTTTCTATTCTGTTCTATTTATGTTGTGCAATGCATCTCAACACAATTCAATATAATTTAAAGCAAATTCTTTTCTGAATCTTTAATCGAAATAATAGTCTGAAAAGAAATTTCATCATGTTATATGGAATACATTGAAAACCAAATATAATGTAAAGCGGACACCCATGACTCTGTCTATGAAGCTTCTAAGAAACACTGAAATAATAAGACAAAATTCTGGAATCAACGAACTCCACGAACTAAAATGGAGCTCACCAAATCTTCTGGTTATGGGAGGAGAATATCCTAGATCGTAGCCTGCTTACCTGCAAAATCTATGCTTACATTGACATGCGTCAATGTAGGTTCCCATGAAGAGAACGTTAGTACACCACAACGATACTTAGTAAGTAAAGCAATTTTCTCACTGAAGCCGGAACGAGACTCTGAAAGAAGTATGTATGCATGAGAAAAGAAAATTTTAAAAGCTTCTGATAAAGAGTTGAAACGGACAACTCATATATCTATTGTAAAATTCTTCTTGATTTCATTCATGAAAATTCTTTTTCTTCTCTTCTGAAAAAATTAAATAAAACTCAAATATATATACAACCTTTCTCGAAATAATCTTTGTAAATTTTCTAAAGCATTTTCTTGTTTTTTTCTTTTCTGGGGAGTTCCATTGATTCTGACATTCTTTCTGTTTTTGATTCTGAAAATGTCACCATATGATCGGTATGGTGGACGATCCCAGCCCGATCGCCTGGACCCCATTCATGTGGTGCCTCACAGTTCAAGGTTCTAGCATGCTCACGTTCTTGTGCCTTACCAGGGCACTTCTATCATAGTGCCTGAACCAACGGTACACTAATCTCCTACTCTGGCACGAGTAATTTTGGGGTAACATAAACCACTAGAGGCTATGAACCCTTCTCAGAGATCTAAGAAAACTCCCAAAATATTCTTCTGAGTAATTCTTGCATCACAAAATTTAAAACAATAATATATCTTCATAGTTCTCATCAAAACAGTTCCATAATATCTTGTAAAAGAAATTTGCATAGTCTATATATCAAAGAAATATATGCAAGCCATGAATGCATGAGACATGATTTATGGAACATCTATTCTTGAGTTATTAACCATGATAATCATCTAAGATCTTTTCTACAATTCTAATGGATATTGTGAGTTCACTCGTTCCATTCAGAGCCCACATTAACCTTCTATACAGTCTAACAATAACTTATGGCATGATATTTGTGAGAAGACAACTATAGTAAAAACATTGTCCCTACTCACTTTGATTCCTTGCTTTTGGATACCTTAGTTTGTTCCAATCCAATGGGTTCAACTCACCAAACATTTCTATACATAGTTAACTTTAAAATCAATATGAGAAATTCCAAGATTTCAAAAAAATAGAAGCCCTGGGTTTGATTCTTCTCTCCTTCTAGGGTTCATCGTTAATCTAAGTTTCTGTAGTAGTTTATAGGAACAAATATCAACCATAAACCTCTCTCGTGGTTGAAAGCGGTTACGAAACTTACCTTGAATCGCACAACCCTAGGTTAGCGGAGAGACCTTGTTCTTGAGTCCTTGTTGAGAATCTAGCGATTTTGAGATGGAATATTGTTATAATTGATGTTTGGAAGTAGTATTCTAACGTTAATCTCATTGAAAACTCACCTTAGGTAGTATGAGAACCCTTGGATGACTTGAGGATGAGAGGGGAGGTTTAATCTTTAAAGAATGAGGCTATTTTCTCTCTCCCCTTCTCTTTTATTTCAATTTCACACCTTCGGCGTCACGGTCCGCGCCTTACGCCACCCAAAACGCTCCAAAAAAAATCACTTCTGATTTTGGCGTTCTGATTCGCGCCTGGCGCACTCCTGAGCGCCCGAAACGCGGCCCATTTTTTCTGACAGGATAGTCTTCAATAAAACGCCTATAACTTTTTATAGGAATATCGAAATGATGAACGATTTGAAGTGTTAGAAACTAGTCTTCAAGGGCTTTCTTTTGATATATAGCTCAAATCTCAATTTATTATATAATGATTTATATGATCATTGAAACTTAGGTCATGTGCGGCTAAGGTCATGTTCATCTCTTTAACATCTCCAATGTGTTCCAATTTACTCCTCTCCTCTTATAACCATCCATTCAACCTTCTAACCTAAGATTTATGTAGTTTATACCTTTATAACTTTTCAAACACCTTTGTGTCCAACTTAGAGCGTGATAAAAAATATAATACTTAGCGAAGAATCTTCGGGGCTTTACAATGTGAGAGATTGATGATGGTAGGTATAAGTAGAGGTAGAGGTAGGCCAAAAAAGTATTGGAGATGAGTGATTAGGTAGAGGCGTAGAGCATGACGCATCTTCAGCTTACTGGAGGTCGAGAATTATGGCAGAAGGGTAGTAGGCAGTCGAGTGTCTTTCCTTTCATTTAAGTAGTGGTAGCGTTATCCTCGTATTTTCATATTCCTAGATTTCTACTACTACATGGTTACTTTTATCTTGTTGGTGTTACTGTTTCTTTGACTTTTTTAGTGCTCTGTTTGTTTTTCTATTATTTTGTGATTGATTATGCTTACTTTCTTTGAGCCTAGAGTCTATTAGAAATAATCTCTCTACCTGCATAAGGTAGGGGTTAGGTTGAGTGCACACTATCCTTCTCAGACCCTCCTTGTGGGATTACACTGGGTATGTTGTTGTTGTTGTTGGAATGAAATGTGTCTAAATATATGGGGTCTAAAAGTAAAGGTTTCATACAAGGACCCACCTAGTTTAGAATTGAGGCGTAATTGATTAGTTTTGTTTTCAGCTGGAGTTATTTCCCTAAATTTAGATGTTTCTTTGTTTAGTTGACTAGGCAAATTGTTTAGTATTGGAATGAAATTGTCTAAATGGAGCGGCCTAAAAGTGGACGATTCATATGCAGACCCCAACTAGGTTGGGATTGAGGCATAGCTGTTTGGTTTTGTTCTTGTATTGGAATTATTTGCCTAAATGTAGATGTTTCTTTGTTCAATCGACCAAGCAAAGTGTTTTGGATTGAAATAAATTTGTCTAAATAGAGTGGCATAAAAGTAAATGATTTACATGAGTACCCAACTAGTTTAGCATTGAGACATAGTGGATTCGTTTTGTGTTTGCCTAAATTTAGATGCTACTTTGTTCGATCAACTAGACAAAGTGTTTAGTTTTGGAACGAAATGTGTCTATATAGAGCGGCCTAAAAGTAGAGGATTCATATGTGGATCCCAACTAGTTCAGGATTGAGGCAATAGTTGACTCATTTTGTTTTTATCGGAGTTATTTGCCTAAAATTAGATGTTACTTTGTTCGATCAACTAGGCAAAGTGTTCAGTATTGGAATAAAATGTGTCTAAATAGAGCGGCCTAAAAAGAGGATTCATATGAGGATCCAAACTAGTTTGGGAATGAGGCATAGTTGACTGGTTTATTCTCCGTCTGTAGTTGTTTTTTTCCTAATTTAGATGTTTCTTTGTTCGATCGACTAGGCTATTTATTTAGTATTGGATGAAATGTTTTTAAATAGAGTGGCCTTAAGTTAAGGTAGATGATTCATGTGAGGACCCAACTAGTTTGGCATTGAGGCATAGTTGATTGATTTTGTTTTCGGTTGGAGTTATTTCCCTAAATTTAGTTGGTTCTTTGTTCAATCTGACATGTCTTCTTACTGGGCAATTTCTTATTTCATAAGGTTTTAGTTCTGACCTGGAATTATTTTGCATGCTAGCTATCAATGGCATCTCAGGTGATAAGAGAATGGGTCGGAATGCAACAGTTTTCTTCTGCCACTGAATTGAAGTTACTTGAATTGCTAGGAAAAACGAAGCAGGAAGTTCATGTCTCTCTCATTACCTAATATGCTACTTTCAATTTGTTTTTCTGGAGTTACAGTCGAAACGATTGTTATATTTTTTGTATGTCTACCCCAAAATAAGACTTGTGTGCAATTATTTGGCTGATGTATTGATTATGGTCAACTGCTGTAGAGTGTAAGTACATTGACAGTCCTAGTAATGGGCAAAGGAGGTGTTGGAAAATCTTCAACAGTTAACTCAATTTTAGGGGAAAGAGCAGTTGCTGTCAGTGCATTTCAGGTACATATTGCTTTGAATTTAGTTGAAAATTAAAACCTCAGAGGTTTCTTCTTGTGGTTTAGGACATTGAAATATTGTGTCTTTATTTTCAGTCAGAAACTCCAAGACCAGTGATGGTTTCGCGATCATTGGCAGGATCTACATTTAACATTATCGACACCCCAGGGCTGGTTGAAGGAGGATATGTTAATGACCAGGTTCTTGATCTCATAAAGAGGTAAGTATTTAGTATTTACATGCTGAAATAAATCGGTACTTCACTTGCTCGGGTAGGGATACGTAGTCCTTTGTCTGATTAACCAACTTCTCTCACTAATTATCTTTTTTATTTTATTTTTTGGGGTAAATGGATCAAACAGGTTCCTCTTGAACAAGACAATTGATGTTTTGCTCTATGTGGATCGTTTGGATACATATAGAGTGGATAATTTGGACAGGCAAATTGTGAAGGCCATAACAGATAGTTTCGGCAAGGAAATATGGCGTAGAGCACTTGTCGTCCTCACACATGCTCAGGTCTCCCCTCCTGATGGATTGAGTTATGATGAGTTTACTTCAAGAAGATCAGAGGCGCTGTTGAAAATTGTTCGCCTGGGAGCTCGAATTAGAAAACAAGAGATTAAGGTGGGGTCACTACTTTCTTCTATGCTTGAAGTAGATTTTCAGGATTCTTACAATTTTGTTCCACTTCACAGAGCAAATTTTCTTTGGCACAATTTGAATTTGGTATCTTGTGCTCTATTGAGCTAGCATAACTCAATTGAGCACAATTAGGATAGAGGGAGAGGGTGTGGAGTTGCCTATTGATTTCTTAATCTGAACTATCATAAATCAGTTGTTGACTTATTAAGCTGATTAAGGTGTACCTATCAGTTACTGGTTCTGCCAGTTAAGCAACTATGCAGATCATCTAACTCTTATACCATTTTTTCTTCGTGTTTCATCCAATTTTTCTACATGAGATCTTCTGATCTTATTCGCGTCTCCACCTTCGCACACTGTGTTCCTAAGATATGTGTGACATCCTCCTTCCTTTGATCCTAAAAGTAGTTTAAGCACCTACGGTGCACCCCTTTTTTTGTACGTGTCTGCGAGTTTTTTCTTGGGGGGGATACTATTAAGTTTCTTTTTTTTCCGCCAACAATGCACTTTGGTCTCTATTCTGGGATTGTTAGAAACTGCATGGAGGGAGGGCTATAAGTATTGTTTGCCCTCAGCAGTAGCTCTACCATGCAGACCCTGTCGGTGTTGTTAGATATATATTGTGCATTTGCGAAGATAACTTGAACTTCAGTTTCAGAATCCATGAGAGGAAACATGGTAGTGGTGAAAGCTATCTTTCCCCTTATTTTTTTGCATCTGTATGAGTGAGCGAGAGGATGTAGTAGAGCAGTCAGCTGGCAAACATGCCATCTTGCTTAGCACCCTACTTGGAACAGTGATTATAAGTTTGTTTGCTTATATGGTGCTTTTTATAGAAGTATCATCCTTTCATAGAAGTTCGTTTTTACTTATCTTACTCTCCTTGGTGTTAGGCTTCTTCAGTTCCTGTTGTTTTGGTTGAGAACAGTGGGAGATGTAACAAGAATGAAATCGATGAAAAGGTTAGATATACGTGCCATTGTCTTGTTATGTATTGTAATATATTATGTTTGTTGACATGGTCGGCATTGGTTAACAGATCCTTCCAAATGGAACTGCTTGGATACCCAATTTAGTCCAAACTATGATCGACGTTGTCTCAAGTGATAGCAAGGGTATCTTGGTTGACCAAAAATTGATCGAAGGACCGAATCCTAACAATAAGGGCAAAGTGCTCATCCCTTTTATCTTAGCATTCCAGGTGAGCTTTCAATCTGAAGTTGTCTCTGTTGCACTGTTAAAACGTGCGAATACTTGTATTGACCATAGCTAACATTCCCCCTTCCCCCGACTTTGTTTCTCTGGCAGTATTTCTTTGTTGTGAAAAGGATCCAGAAGTGGATCAAGAATGATATTGCAACAGAGAGCAGACCTTCATGGGCATAAGCAACCATCGGCATAGGCCTCGTTTATCCAATTAACTTAATTTTCCCTCTGGTTTTTTGTAGTACTTTGAGTTTCCCTCGTTTATCCAATTAACTTAATCCTGCTTTTTGGTAATATTGTAGCAGTTATAGTCAGCTATATCAGTTGTATGCGGAAAATGAATTTCAATTTCTTTTGCTGAGTCTGGCTTTATCCCTTACAATTCACGTTCGTTTAAAAGTTACTGCAATTTTCAGCTCTGTCTTTGTCGTTGAGTGTTGCAGAGTGTTGCGTTTTACCATTTTCCAGTGAAATGCCAGAAGACCACAAGAACAGGTTATCCTTTATTATCCAAGGACCTAGAGAACTCAATACATAAAAGTCTACTAGGAGTATTTAATTCGTTCTAGTATTGTTTTATATAAGTGCACTATTATCTTTTTCAGAAAAGGGTTAAAATTATCCCCCCCTCCATCTATCGGTTAAAAAATATCCTATCGTTATTTCAATTGTTAAAATTACCCCTCGATTTAGCGAAGAAATTCAAAAATAGTCAGATTTACAAGTGATAATTGAAAAATAACCACAGTTTCAAAGGTAATCGAAATTTAGTCACTTTTCGTGTCAAGATAAATCTGAACGAAAACACTATTCAAAATTCGGAACTCCAGAATATTGTATTGGAGTTTCGGTATAATATACTGGAACTCCAGCATAATATGCTGGAAGTTCATACACAGGTGCTCTAATCTCCAGTATATTATGCTGGAATTTTCGCGTGTTGGAGTCCAACATAATATGTTGGAAGTTACTATATAGGTGCATCAATCTCCAGTATATTATGCTGGACCGGTTCGTGTTGCAGTGAAATGGTGACTATTTTTCAATTACTTTGCAAACACTGACTATTTTTGAATTTCTTGTCCTAAACTGATTAGCTCGTACTATTTTTACTCGATTTAGTGGTAGCAAATATGGGCTACAATTTAATGTGTTGGCTCCTTCTTATTGGGCCACGTGGCTCTTTGGTCATACAAGTCATATATGGGTATAAACCCGCCCATTATCCGAACCGGCCCATCAATTTTTGTTTCTTTTTCTTTGCACTCTAACTTGGCAAATGTGTATTCTAGTGCAACATTGAAAGGTATAGCACACCAATATCTCTTTAATAAGAAATGTAGATGACTTTCAATTAAAATAGAGGTCATGGTAAAAAAAAAAAAAATCGGTGCTTTAAGCTCCCGTTATGTGCGAGGTCCGAGGAAGGCCGAACCACAAGTGTCTATTGTACGCAGCCTTATTTTACATTTCTGCGAGAGGCTGTTTCCACGGCTTGAACCCGTGACCTCGTTGTCACATGATAACAACTTTACCAATTACGCCGAGACTCCCTTCTAAATGGAGGTCATTGTAATTGTAATAATTAAATTTGTTAAATATGGTTCTCCGATTATAAGGTAAGATGAAGCCTATGTCGAGCTTCATTACGTAACACGAAACATCAAACAAGAACTAAAAAGTAGCAAAAAGGAAAAATTGGATATAAATAATCAGAAGTAGAAACAGATTGTGTACTTGGGATCGTTTGGTTGGGATACAAGTTATCTTTGGATTAATTATTTTGAAAAATAAGTTATCTTCGGATTAATTATCCCGGACAGTGGCTGAGCCAGAATTTTCACTANGTGTGTGTGTGTGTTAAAAATTTAACCTATCTATGCAACGTAATATTTTGATGAAGGGGTGTCAATTGACTCCCCTTGCTAAGGAGTGGATTCGCCATTGATTCCGAAATTGTTATCCCACCTCCCATATGTATAAAAATAACACTTATTCCAACCAAACATAAGATAATTTCATCTTAAATTACGGGATTAATTATCCCTTATTCCTCCATCGTACCAAATGCTGTCAAGCTTGTCGAAGAGGAGGGCATATAATACTACCCTTTTAGGGCTGTTATTAAATAATGTAAATATTTGTTGGAAGCCAACAAAACTATTATCTAGAGGGAGAAAAACAAATGTGCAAACATTTTAGCAAACGAAAATCATATAAAAAGCTAACAATATTATTCTTTCTGATTTAGTTTATGACACTTTTTCTCATTTTGTAAAATTGACTCCAATATATTTTTATACCACTTTTACAACTTTCAACAAATTAAATTCATTAAAGTATTCAACTTTTAAATTTATACATAATATTTTCTCTATTAAATGAAAGTTTCACTCCATTACTCTAATATTTTCCCATTATTACTAAACATTTATATTTAAGTGAAATTAACATTTTAAATACCATATAATTTTTTTATTTTAGTAGAAAATTCCTTTACATTTGGGCCTTGGATAGGATCCAGCAAGTCAGTCATTCCACCAAACTCTCGTTTGCATTTCCAAAACTCCGATCACATTCTGCAAAATCGCCGTCGATCACCGCCCCCTTATCGCCGTAACAATGTTCCGACACGGTTCTCGATTCCTGACCAGAGCCACCACTTCAATGAAGTGGCGCCGCCCATTTTCAACCGATCTACCGGCGGAGTCCGTTGCAGATTCCAACTTCATTGAAGCTTGGAGGAAAGTAGTTCCCAATGTGGAACCACCGAAAACTCCATCTGCATTCATGGCTACTAGGCCCGCTACACCGTCGTCGATTCCGTCTAAGCTTACTGTCAACTTTGTCCTTCCTTACTCTTCTGAACTCTCTGGTAAAGAGGTAATAATATGGATAATTAGCTCTTCCTTTTCGAATTTCCTTATTTATGATATGTCGGATTTCGATTTGATTTCGGAGTTGTAAGATACTAGTTATCCCTAACGAATGATGATAAAGCATCTAATTTTCGATTTGAATTCAGATTTTGATTGATAGAATTTACTGATTTGAAATTTTCGATTTGAATTCAGATTTTGATTGATAGAATTTACTAATTTGAAAATTGTTGCGTAGTGGTAAATGAAGTAGGAGGAGAACTATGAGGTTTCAGGTTTAAATCCCAGTGGAGGCAAAATAATACTAGGTGATTTCTTCCCATTTGCCTAATACATGGAGGGCAGAGTTACCTAGTACATGTGCATAGCTGGTGGAAGGTAGCTGGTAGTCAAAGAAAAAGTTGTTTGGCTTTCCAACAGTGATAGTGTAGTATAAAATAGAAGAAAGGGAGTATTAGACACCTTATCAAAAAAAATAAAAACAAAGATAGGGAGTATTAGACTCTATCTAAATTCAAATGATTTAATGTTCATGAAGTTACACACGAGAATGTTATTTTGCATGCTTAAATTTACATGAATTTCAACTTCCATTGTTGATGTTAAAGCAAGAGAGGTTGAAAAAGAGGTTCAATGCCACCTTCATAGCATTAATCTTGGGCAGATGCATTGAAATGTTATGGTTTCATTAGAATCCAGTAGCTTTGGCTTTGACCCTGTATATGTGTAAATAAATTGGCTAAATAAGTACAAATAATAGATTTCCGAACCCAGGGAATCTAATGGGCAGGGTAGAATTCCAAATTTGAACCCATAAAGTTTAAATTTTGGATCCGTTTTTGGTCTTAATTCCCAAAAAGATTGAAGCTGTGGAGTTTAAAGGTATTTTAGACGTTAAGTTTGATTGGAAGCATCTACAAGATTATCTCAAAGATACTGTCAGAGACTCAAAATGGTGGTGCATAAGATGGTTGATGATGCACATATGGCTTTTATATGGGAAAGGAACATCCTGGATGTTGCACTAATAGCCAATGAGTGCCTAAACACAAGACAAAAAGGGAACTTATTGGGAGTCCAGTGTAAGTTAGACATTGAGAAGGTCTCAGTTCACGTTAATTCGAGTTTCCTTACCAATATGCTTAAGGAGGGATTTGATAGCAAATAGATTAGCTGGATAAATTTTTGTGTGATCACTGTTAAGTGCTCTGTGATCATAAATGGAGTTCTCTTACCAATATGCTAAAGAAATGGGATCTGATGGTAAAAAAATTAGCTGGATAAATTTTTGTGTGAGCACTGATAAATGCTCCGTGATGATAAATGGAGTTCCTGAAGGATTCTTTTCGATTTAAAGAGGCTTGAGACAGGGAGATCCCACCTCCTCCTCCCTATTCGTTTTAGTGATTGAAATTTCAGCAGTGTGTTGAAAGTGACCAACATAAATGGATGGTTACAGAGATTTAGAGTAACAAACAGCAATTAATGTAATATGGAAGTCTCTCACTTATTGTATGAAATGATATCCTCATCCTTTTTGATGATCTAGAAGTCAATTAAGACATTTGAAGTTCATTCTAGTGGTATTTGAAGCAAACTCTGGTCTTCATATTAATTGGAGGAAAACTCGTTCCCTTCCAATGAGGTGGCAAACAGTGCTAGTGCTAGTTTGGCTAGAATTCTGGGCTGTCTGACAGGGACTTTGCCTACTATTGCGTTTTCCTTTTGGTGCTAGACACAAAGCTGAAGAGATATGGCAGGGAGTGTTGGAAAGGTGTGAAAAGAGGGTTGCAAGCTGTAACAATCAGTGCAATTCCTTTGGGGCAGATTTTTGATTAAGGGTGTGCTGGATTCTCTACCAATTTATGTGAATTCTTGTTTCCTTTGTCAGCCTAGATTGAGAAAATAATTGATGAAGTGAGAAGAGATTTTTTGTGGCAAGGTAATAACGGAAGAAAATTCATTCACCTGTTCAAATGGAGTAAACTATCCAAGAGTAAGAAAGATGGAGGATTGGAAATCAAAGATCTGAGGGTTTATTAATGAAGTGGTATTGAGATTGAGTTATGAAAAAGAGGCCTGAAAGAGAAATGTCATCAATAACAAATATGGGATAGATGGTTAAGTTCTTAGATGAGGTGGTCACATATCAAACCCATGAAGACGTAGATCTCTAATAGTGTAAGTTTTTAAATGAGGTGGTCACATACCTCAATATCACATTAGAGTAGTTAGAGGTTCTGGGTTCAAGTGTCGTTGCCGTAAAAGAATATCATCATGTGCTTGGTTCATGAAAAAGAATCAAACTTGCACGTGAAAGTGTGTTGAAGATAAAATTAAGTAAATAAAAGTGCTCCATCTATAACAGTTTAAGCTTTTAAGCGTGACAGTCACTCACGTTGTAGACATTAAAGCAGGTCAAGTGGGGGCAACATGTGTAGCTAGTGGATAAATTGTTCTTTGAGGGATCAATTGGATCAGAGCAAGTCTTTTATGGTAGTAA